TAGACACAAACATTTGAAAGGCTATGGATATATCGTGATTAAAAAAATAAGAACTTGATTCTTAACTGCTGAGCTGTAAGAGCCATTTAGTTTCAGGCCAACCACTTATGGCTCACTCTTATACCTACCTCTAACTATTGCATCTAGCTCTACTAGATATAACATATGTGTATTATATCTAGTAGAACTAAATTAAATACAGTTTTACTCTGGTATCGTGTTAAACTAACATGACAAAATATTTCTATTTGTAATAAGAGTCCACATAAAATAAAACATTTTACAATTCATTTAAGAAAAAAAATGTTATAGGTTACAGTAAGGAATATTTTAGAAATGTATTTGTACCTTTATACACCTGCAAAATATGCTACTATTATATTTTACATTCTAAAGTACATACAGTGTTTTGTATTTGAGGGATTTGATGATCTCATATCATCACCTTTTCTCCATATAGTCCTTCAAGCATAAAGTTGTTAGAAGCTTTTCACTTGCGGAACCCCTGGAGACTGGATAGGATTGAGATCTGAATAGCAGAGGGAGAGAAAGGGGGTGGTATAAAGTCATGTGGCTGTAACTGCATTATGTAAGTAGGATAGCATCTACCATGCCTGTCATGTTAGTGAAAGCACAGCTGCTGATGGAACTCATCAAGTAAATCTATACCTGGCCTTATCCAGCACGATATTTACTGTTGCCACTGCTAAAGTCAAGAAAAGAATTATATCCCACTTTAATAATCCCCAGTTACGTTCTTGGGAGTCCTGTGTGATGTGGATAATCTCAGTTCTACATCTGTACAATAGGCCAAAGAGCTGCTCTTTTTGTGAAGGGATGCTTAGTTTCATACCTCATTTATGTGACTTCACCTCCTGTTTCTGTGTAACTTAACCAGAAGCAGTGCAGCTGTCACCGAAGTAGGATCTAGCTACTGTTCTCATTATCTTGCTCAGCAATTTGTCACCTCTGCTTGGAAGGGCCACACACTGCACTATGACTGGGAAGAATCCAATCTTGATCTTTTTTTCTGGAAAATTACAGAAATTCAGTTTTCTAAAACTAGTCTATTCACACCTTGTAGCTCTACTAAACTCCTTTAAAGCAGAGAGAGCTTATATCATTGAAGTGGAAACTCAGTGCAGTTAGGATACCTGGTGAAAAGTGCTCTGAGGAGCTGATTAAAATATATAATTTCATAGTTTAATAACCTGAAGTGAGTATATTTTGTCTACAGAGCATCCTGAATCTTTTCAAGCCTTACACGACTGATTATGCGTATGTTCACAACTAAGCTCCCAGGAAACCCTTGTGGCTTTTGATTTCTATTTTTCTGTCCTGCAAGTCTTCAAAATGTTAAGACTCCTTTCCCACCCATCCCAAGCTTGGACAGAGTTGAAATAATACTTTCTTCTGTGAACTGAAAAGCCAACAATAAACATTCAGCCGCGTCAAGGGAAACTTTTTGTGTCTAATTCAGGCATTTAACTTTAGCTCTTACCTAAGTTAGATTTCTGGGCTACCCAACTGGAAAAGAGAAGCAATTGCATTGAGCAAGTCAGATCTTCCATGTGCTGGAGTGACTTTAAGGGGAGTATCAGGTTTCCTCTGCTGCTTCTTAATTTCTTTCACTATTAATTGTTTCTTTCCCTCTCTAATTTCTGCTTAGGGGTTTCTAGGCCCTAACCCACATCTGCAGACCTCATCTCTGTAAAAGTTTTGAAGATCTTTTGTTGTCTACCTGAAATCCATACAGCTTATTTTTTCTCCCATGAAAGTAAAACATTAACCTAAACAGTAATGATGATGATGATAAGGAAGTTTATTGGAACAAGCACATTTTTCGTTAAAACTTTGCTTTTGCTCCACTTATATTTCCCATTGGTACATGTTTTTTTCCAAAATAAACTTCTGGCTAACTCTGCTTATACTAACATGCCTCACATCAGTATCAAAATGTACTTTTCTATAGTGAATTCTAGGAAAGTGGGTCAAGAATGCTTTTCCTTATTCTTTTCTTTGAAAGGGCTGGCTTTAATTTGAAAATCTAATATGTCTATAGGAAAAGCTATTGGCTAAAAGAATTGAAAATGCTCACCCTTTCCCATCACTTTGTCATCAAAAGTAAGCCATGAAATAGTGAAGACTTTTTAGTTTTCACCAACTTAGAATACCTGGCCAAGAGTGTGCAAGGCTTGAGAGTCTGTAGTCTCTTCACATGCCACTGAAATACAGTCCCCTGTACCACGTGTCATACCTCAGCCCCTTTCCTACAAGGACCTGACAACAAAGAATTTCTTGCAGCTCTGGGAAAGCTCTCAAATTAAAAGTCACAGCACTACCTGATGATGCAGATTAGCGGTCATGATCCATGGATAATGCTAAGGTCACCAATTTTTAAAAAATATTGTTAAAAGAGAAACAAAAAAGAAAAAGATGGCAGGATGCCATTCATGGATTTCATTGGTGTATATGATCATAAAGTGATGCTCTGATGAAGTCATTTACATTTCTAGGCCACCCTCTGTGCTAAATTCCCATGCAAAGTAGAATCATACACTGTAAGATTAAAGTCGGTCCTTGAACTATGTGTAAAGTGTTGTAACATGGCGCTGGTTAATGTGCTAGTCCAAGTAATACTGATGGGGAACACTGTTAGCCCTCCTATTAAATCCAGACTTATGCCAGTCATCCCCACCAGGGTGTATTTCATCTAAATTCTGCTTATTTGGCTTTATTCAGAAATGATTTAGAGGGTAGGTTGCCTTAGGTGCTATTATGTGTAAGACAGAATGAAGCTTTATGCAATGTGGACAAGTAGAAGAAAAAACAGCAAAACAAAACAAACGTTATACACTTTGCCCATGGCTCAGTGCGATCTCTTCTTCACTAAATGCTGCTCTGTAGCAAACGGGCAGTCAAGTCAGTAGTAAATGGAACAGCAGAGAGAAGGAAAATGTAAACTGGAAGTTTTACTACTCTGACTGACTCTAGCTTTGCTAATCAAAATCAACAGGGCTTGGTATAAGATTGGCCTTAGGCTGGATTTCCTTTTTATCCCATTGAATAAATACTAATCTTGGAATTCATCAAAGATTCTTGAAATGTACAGTAGAACTCATGCTGCAAAATATGTTCCTGGTGAGATCATGCTCGACAAAAGCTAATGAAAAGATAAAAAAGGTAAGAAACGTAGATACATACAGTGCACTCAGGTCACACAATAAAAAATATCTGTACTACAGTCATTAGATGTTGTTCATATCTCCTAGGTGCTGATACTTGATTCTAAGGTAGTAAGGAGAAAGTCTAGGCATAACTGGATAACTATTCCCAAACAAGTGCTGCATGCTGTTTTTACAGTGACGTTTAGGTCCTCACAAACATCTAGAGGAGCCATATGGCTTTATATTAGGTGAAAATCTGGTCCTAATCTGATCCTAGCTGTTTACATATCAGACGCAGTTGATATAAAGAAGATATCAAAAAAACCCCGAAACAAACACCAGTCAGTCCATTTCTGTGAAGTTACTCATGATTTGTACTGGAGAAGGGAAGACAGGAAATTTCCACAGAAGTGCCTTAGATTGCTATATACATTTTGTGTGTGTGTTTTAGACTCCAGTACCAATTTTACTCTTAGCCTTGGACAGACTCACCTTCTCAAAATAAGATATTTCATCTGTCAAACTCCTACACATTGCCAGTGACATCTAATTATTCCAATCTTACAAAGATGATGGGAAAACAAAAGAGAGCGTGGGTCATGCAGAAAAGAATTTAATTGAGTTTGAGATCTTCTTTCATTCTATTTCTGTCATTCTGAGAACCTGACAATTACACACTTCTTAGTACATAGAAGTACCATATAGTCCTGAGACTGTGCCCATCTCTGGTTAAAATAGCCAGTGCTGGGAGACTGTATAATTTGCTTGATCCTAAAAGAGATCAGCACTTTCCTTTTTTCTGAGACTTCTTGATGTATAACACAAAGCACAGACTATTTCAATGATTGTCTCACAGAGATAGAAGTCTCTGGTCCAGTTGCCTTAAGAAACTAAGATCCTCAGGTTTCTCAGAGAGTTAAAGATGACCTCAGGGTTACGGTTCACCTCTACTGGGGCACAGCTGAAGCTGACAGATTCAGAAGTGTAGAGATTTCCAAAACCTGAAGACTTCCTACTTTAAATAGCACAAAGAATGTCCCAAGCTTGACAAAATAATAAGCACCTATATATGTTTCTTTACCCCAGCTTTTTCTCTCGATCATTTCTGAAACAGCTTAGAAGGGACAGAAAAATAAACAAGAGTGCATTTTATAAGTATGTTAGTACTAAAATTAAGCCAGTAATGTTTCCTCCATTCAGCAGAGAGGAAAGGGTTTTGCTCAGTTGAGAGAGAATTTCTACAGAAGGATGTCTTCCAAATGACAATACAAACCCCAAGTGTTTAATGTCTTTCTGACTTCAGCCTTCACTAAGAGTATCAATAGAAATTAGACTTCTAACGTAAATGAAAGTTATGACAAAGAGTTAAAAATTCAGGTTAAGATGGATGCACTGTTATTCTATCTTTTGGCAACTACTCTCCTATATTAGATTAGTTGCCTCAAGTTATTCAGCATAATTCCCAGCCATTGTCACTTCCTTTTGAAAAAGATTAGAAATGAGGAGCCTAGGTAGCATAGATCAGCTGGATTCTCAGAACACTGGAACAAATTAATTAAATAGATTATTTGAACTTAAAATTGATAGGAGATGAATAACAGCTGACATGAATTTGCCAGGAACACATCGTGGCAAACCAATCAAAATTCTTTGCACAGCCTGTTACCCTATTGTATATACAAAGAAAAAAATATATGATATATATTTGGGTTTTAATAACCCCCTGCCATAGCTTCACATAGCAATTTGAAAAGTAAGCTGAGAAAGCTATTTAAATGAAGCTGTTAGGCAGATCACACATGACTTGGAAAACCACTGTCACACAGTACTTACCAGTTACTACACCATGTCAGACCGGAAGAAGGTATCAAATGGAGCCCTGGACATGTCTGTTCTGAGCTTGATGCAACTTAATTTTGTCTTTAATGAGTTGCATGACTGAAGACAGTCCACTGATTACCTTTGCAGATGACACACAGGTCAGGAGGGAGGTAAGGAATTTGAAACAGGATTTGCATTTAAAATGATCTTGACAAACTGGAGAAGAAAAAAGAGAATGTATACTAAGAACAGATACAATGTTCTACTTTTTCAAGGCCACTGGTGAGAATGTTACTGCTTTTTATTTCTGCTTTTCTTTTTCCCGTATTACCACTTTTATCTTCTCCTAGGACATTTTTACTGTTCTGTATCTCACCCTTAGAAACAAACCTATTCAAACTGGCTTGAAATGCACTCATATGACTGGGAGTCATTAACATTAATTAATTCCCACTTACCTGTAAGGGACAAGGAAAATCCTCTTAAAATATAAAAAGATTGTAATGGATAGCAGTCCCTTCTCTCTTATTGGCAGAAAAGCTGGTTTAAAACATTCTTGCCTGCCTGGGGTTTGATTGCATCATTTTTTAAAGCTTTTATATTATTATTATTTTATATTGGAGCAGTCATTCAGTGGACTCGGAAATGAAAGATGAAGGAAGGAAGGATGACACAAGGTATTATTCCAATTATTGTAAGTTAAAGTTCTCAGCAAAAGCCATCTGTAAAAACTCATTACCCAGAATAACGGTAAATAGCCTTGACGTACAAAAGGCTAGCATCAGCTTACTTTCCTGACAAACAATATACTGTCAATTCTAGGAGAGCAGTGAATTTGAAACCCAGGGTGAGTAATCATAAAGCTCTAAGCTCTAATTGCATGTAACTTATTATGCAAATGTACCTTAAATTTACAGACAAAACTGTCAAAGTTTAGGATTATTTGTGTTTGCAACAAGTGAAAAACACTGTACCAATGCTTATGTGGGTTTTTAATAGGTTTTTGGATACTTTTTTTTTAACTCAGAAAATTTTTATGATCTTTCTATTAAGAAGTCAAGACCAACTACACCTCAGTTATTTCTTAGAGATATTTGTTCAGAGTCTTTCTAAAAGTCTCCGGTAACAAAAGTTCCAAGTCCCAAACATACAATAAGTTCTAGTATTTCAAAACTTATACCACTGGAAATTTTTTTCTCTTATCTGTCCTGATTCTCCCTCTCTGAATTTCAAGTTTGTTGTCTTAAATCCTTTCCCTTCTCCAATATAATCATAAAGATCCTTTACATCCTTTACATTTTCCATCTCCCCTGAATCTTCTGTTCTCAGGCCAAACAAGCCTAGATTCTCCAATTTTCTGTGTAGGGCATATTTTCTAAACTTTTATTTATTCCTGGTTTTTGCTCAGGAATGTCTTCTGATTCCTACACTCCAGATGGGGCCTGAGGACACCCTAGCAGAATATTTCATGCATCCTATAGATAATAATTCTTTTTTTTACATCCCAGCGCGAAGGTGCCTTTTTCACCAAAGTCTACAGGTCTACACTGGCCATTTGCATTGCACCCCAATATGCAATTCTCTTGAGCATTCAGAGTGTAAGAATGATAAGTCACTGCTGGATTTTCTTGGAGCAGAACAAATATATGTACCCCTGACAGATTTGAGAGGCTAGCTTAACAGCCAAGCATCTCAAGGGATGTCTCCAACAAGCAGTATTGATGAGACTATGCTAGGTTTTTCCTCCTCTATCTGGTTCAGTTCCCAACAATCTCTCATCATGCTCCTCTGCATATAACACACACACATATGAAAATATAAAGGTGGTAGGCTACCTTCTTTCCTTATAAGCACTTTGCTTACATAAGGAAAATTTCATACATTTGATTTACTTTTTAAAGAATTAAAATATCTTCTATGTATTTAGGATCTCATATAACTGTTTTGAAACTAAACCATGTCAGATTTAGGAGGTTTGTTAGGACCTGAACGTCTGTAAAGAGATGCTTATGCATGTGTAGAAATTTTTCATTTACTTTGGGTGAGAAAGATATAAAACTTGTGGAGTGGTAGTCATGGGTCTACCTCCCTTTCAAAGACCTCTACTTTGAAGAACTGAGAATCTGGCACAACATACACCTGTTTAGGAAAGATATCATCTCATTCAACTTTATGCTCTAAAACATTATTACCATTTTTTTGTGTTTCCAATAGGTATTTTAAGACCAAAAAAACTATCTCTGCTATTCTCACTATGCAGGAGGATGCTGAACATCCTACAGCATTTTCTCAAAAAGAGTTATTGTCCAATGTTAGTGTCTTGATCGTATTCCTGCTCTAAGGCATGAAAAGAATTTAATGTCTTCAGCTAAAATGAACTACCCTGAACTCATTAAGGTATTTATTTTGTTTAGTATATTCACCACAAATCCAGAACATATATAGGCTATTTCTCTAAAAAGATGTCTGAGCTACTTTTGAGTGTGAAAAAAGACAAATTCAGGTTTTCATGTTTAGTAATTTCCCCCTTCTTTCCTAAGTTCTTATGTCCTATGATGGGCATAAGATGCATATACAGAAACACACAAAAATTTTATTCATTCTTTCTAGTGCTATAAAATCAAGATGCTTTGTTAGTGGTGTTTTTTTTTTAACTGTAGAGGACTCTACAATTAAAATTGCTTCTGTTAAGTTAATGAAGAGTTCACCTAATTGACAAAACAGTTAACACTAGCCACTGAGAGTAATTGATACTCAGGCTTTCAACGCCTGGAATATTAGTTATGTAACTGTTATATTAAAGAAGTTTCCTTAGCCTATTAATTTTGTCAGATATTATTTCTTGTTCTTTTTACCAGGAATTTCTATGATTTTTTTGTTTAAATGATTTAGGACTGGTATCTTCATCTATGCAGAAACTATATTTAATTAGTTTGCTTTTAGTCAAAAATTAAAATAATCAAATGCAGATTTTTATGTGTCAGGTGGCCACATCTTGATCTCACCTAAAACCCATACGAAACTGCTCTGATACGGTTAACTATGAGCTTAAAATTTGTGTAAATTAGGATTAGAACCTGATTCTAATGCTCCCAGGTTAACTGGAAGGTAAACTGATAATTAAGGAAGTGCTGTAGAGTGATGTTGCAGATCTCTTGGGTACTGCCATAGGTCAGGGTCGGGGGGCCATGGCCGGGCAGCGGCAGGACCACGGCAGGGCTGGAGCAAGCACTGCTGCAGCATCGCCGGTGTAGGGGCGGATGGCCCCAGGCTGAGCTGAAACGGGGCTGGGGCTGGAGCAGCAACGGAGGGGCTGGCAGTGCCCAGAGGGGCCCAGAAAACAGGAACTCAAAGCTGAGGACAAAAAGCCTTGAAAATGAAAGCTCACTTTGGAACTTTGCCAGTTTTGGTAAAGCTTCAAAATAGACTCGGTTTCAATCAGATACTCCTTAATTATTTTTGCAACAAAACAGTAAAAGGGAAAAAATTGCAACAAATTTTTCCTTATTACTCCAGTATGAAGTGTCCTAGGAGCTTCACAGGGGCCAAAATTCATGATCAAGGTCAGGAAATCTTATTGCTATAGCAAAGCAGTACATCAACAAAACAATGTGAATGGCCTCCATTCTAATTTGCCATTGTGAAAGATTCTCAGCACTTATTTATTTGAAGGAATATCAGGACAGAGTTCTGTAGTTTTCATCCAGTTTGATCCTTTGCTTTACATTCTACTCCAGGAATTTTATTTGGTTCAATATGAATGCAATAATTAAGATTTCTTTAGGGCCCAACCTCCCTTTTCTGAAGTAATAAAATGACACAGCCTTGGAGGCGCTTCATGTTAGAAAAAAATATACATTGTTGTTTTCTGCATTGTGTTTTTCATTCACAAGAATAAACAGGTCTTTGTGTGTTCATGCAAATGTCTTCTGAAAAAAAAAATCTATATTTATTTTCACTCTATTGCTCTAAAGAAGAGGGAAACAAAATGGGCTGAAAACAGTTGATAAGATGTTTGTTGCAACCCAATTGTTAGTGTTCCTTAGAATCCTTTATTTTTCCTGTCACCTATCAATTTATGGGCAAATTAAACAGATTTGTTCTAGAATCAATGCTATTTTTAGACTTCTAAACATAATAGCAGCAGGAAGCAAATATGTGTGTTGAGTCCCTGAGTCACTGTGAACATCCACAGTGCAGTGCATAACTCCTTGTTTATTCCTAAATCCTGTTTTGAACACTGTAATAGGCTACTTTGGAGACCAACACAGCCCCTCTTCTGAGGGGGCGGCTCTGTGCTAGGCTGGATGATTAAAACTGCTCCAGACTGGCTCACACCGCAGACCACGGCTGCGGGGGGTTAGCTGCCTGTGACCCAAAGCCCAGCTTTGTGTTTCTCAGTCCTTCTGACACAAGCCTTCTTGAGCTGCGAGCAAGTAAGCAAGTCAGAGATGCGCAGGATAAGAAAAGTAAAAACAGAGAGAGAAGTGAAACAGAGTAAGCAACCTGAGAACCTAAGACAGAAATGCTGACATGAAAAGGTATAAAAACCTAGGAAAGAAAGAGGAGAATCAGAAGACAGCCCCTCAGAAGGGTTAAGGACCATCCCACTCCAGGAAGGGCACAAACCATCACTGCTCTTCCCAAGGAGCAGTGCTTGTACCGGGAGGTGATGAGGAAAATAATGTTTAGCTTGGTTGTGTGTTAGTCCTAGTTATCTGTTATGTATATTAGTCAATAAATGATTGTTATCCAGTCTTACATTGCCTGCATTCCACCCACAGCATGTGCCTGCCTACTAGCAGAGAAGTTACAGCCCCAGTTCCTCACATGTGCCCTGTCATGTCACATCCTAAGATGTCCCTTCAGTGCCATATCATATAAATAAAAGATTTATAGGAAATATATGGCTTCTAATTATTCTGAGCCAAAATAGACTACTTCTCTAGACCATCCCAAAACTTATGGCTGAGATACACCAGGAACAACCTGATCCTGAGGAGGTTTGACCATGAAGCCATTTGCAGGGAGGTGACATCAAGATTGGGGGTAGGAGGCACAGGTGGCTGGTTATTCTTGGCCAAATATTTGTCTGAAGGATCCTATATTCCTTGTCTTTTTTTCATCCCCTGGGCCTCTTTTGCTGTCAGTCATTTATCTCACCATTCTCCTCTAATTGTCATTGTCTCATTGTTGCTGAGCTTTTTCAAAAACCT